TACTTCCAAATCTCACTTACATTAAAACGTGTAATTTTTTTTATATTTTATGTTTAAACAAATATTTTAATGGAAATTTTAATACCCTTTGAAATGTTATTAAAATAATGTGCAGTTAAATATGTGTATTGTCGATTTGTCGCATGTGAACCGATAATTATCGATGATTAATGATGGTCAGATGTCAGTTTGGAAGAATTGATTCCGTTGCATTAAAACATGTGAGTTGACGTAAAAGTTTTCAGCAGTAATAGGCTACAAATGAACTGATGAAACGGACACGTGAAAAGTACACGTGTGCAAAGTTCTTCTTGCCTAAACGGTCGGTGTCACGATACTATCGATTACTCTCGACTGTAACTCGTTTTAGGAAGTGGCGCATTGCGCGTACCGTCTGTTCGCAGAGGAAACAAGTGACAAACGGCACCTGCTGTCACCTGCACGCACCTTCTGCTATCTACACTCAGAGGTACGGCATTACAAATATTACTTGGTAGATTGAGCAAATCTTGAATTCAAAAATATTCAACTATGATTAATACGTGAATGCACAGAAAAGTCTAGTGAGGATAACTGGGCAGCCACAGGTAATAATTTCGAAAAAATGGGTAATAAAACGTTTTGATCTTGAATGTTCTTTCAATACATTTAACCCCTGATTTTCTCGTGTTTGATGCTGGATTTCAAAAATTTCGAAAATTGTTATATTTTTGATGTTGAAAATTGAGCTTTTCAAACAAACTGCAAGTAATTCTTTAAATCATAAAATTAGCGACGTTACTTTTTTAGAACATAAAATAAACTGTGCTTACTATTGTGTCATTCGACCTCTTTTTCACAGAAAAATTTTGAGTGTTCAAAAAACTTCTTTAGATGCCATTTGTAGTATTCTAACTCACAAATACAACTGTGTTTACAAATTGCTGGAAATATGCATACTAACGAAGTGTGAAATCTTTCAAAACAATTACATTCGTGTATTAAAAAAACAAGAAATACTCGAGAATGAACTTTACGTCATAATAAAACTACTCGTAGCACTATCCGATCGAAAAGTTTGAAGTAAAAATTTGGAGCAATTTTTGACAAAATGACATTTGAAATTTTCCAAAAATGCGGAATTTTGAGCTAGTTTTCACAGAAAGTTGTTGAGTTTACTAGAAGTCTTAAATGACGTTATTTAAAGCACATGTACTCATAAATATAAAAATCTGAATAAATTACCGCTATTGTAAATATAAACAACGTGAGAGACAAGGCAAAAAAATATAATTGTAATTTTGAAAAACAGATAGAGCAAAATGGCGTTTAGGTCCTGTTATGGAGTTAGCCCTATGAAAAGTTCAAAGAAATAATTTGGAGCCGTATTTAAGAAAATCTTGTTTTTGTTATTTAAATTGCAAATATTACACGCAATATGGTGCCAAAACTCCTAAAAGTTTCAAATAAAGGTTCATGACCTTAATAAAAGAAAAGGAAGAAAAGGGGAGAAAAGGAAGAAACTAGGGAGAAAAAGTTTACTTGAAGGAAAAATCTATTTTCAATTTTGTAGTTGTATGAAAATCCCCCAAAAAATCGCACTTCTCCAATTTTCGAAAATTCAGAGATAACTCTCAGGTCAATGCCACTTTTATAAGTGATTTTTTTTCTATTCTTACTAGATATTTAAAGAAAAAATCTTGAGCCGTTTTTAAAAAATAAAATGTCAGGGAGGCTCTATGTAAAGTACCCACAAATTTTAAAGCATTGTTGTCAATATATCAATGCTTTTACTCGAGCCAGGTGGACACGGATTCTTCAATTTGGAAAAATTCGTACTTATGGTTTAGGCGCTAGTAGTGTTAACAGACGGACGAACACAGACGGACGTTTTGAAAAAATGAAGTTTTTCGGTATCAGGGGGATCCCAAAACGTGTATTTCCGTTGAAATTTCGAAATCGATTTTCCGTAGCATTACATAATTTTCCTAATACTCCGAATATACGTAAGTATACGGGAAAGCAATAAAAGGTGTGGCTGATCAAAGTTATTTGTGTAAAAGAACTTTTGTGTTGCTTTCGTCTTTCAAAGAATCTCTTTATCCATAAGAAACAGTTTTTTTTGAATCAAAGTACTCTTACTGTATTTTATTGAACCACCCATTCACTTCACTTATTCTTAACGGGCTGTGAGCGGTAAAACTCTCCCGGAAGCAATTTGTATTCGGACTCCCTACTTCTTCGTTCATGGAAAGTGTAATTTATTTTGTATAGTGAATTTGATCGTGAAATTCCGTCCACTCAGACATAGAAGAAATTCTCTTGTGGATTAAGATGTAATCAATACATGATGATTATTTTGAATAAATCGAGTACAATTACAAACTACAAGTACGTGACACATACGTTCTCGTACTAGTCACGTTTCTAACGTCTTTAGCTGTGCTAGCTTTTCGGTTTTGCCCTGCATTATTCCCAGCTACCATTTATAGCAGTATAATGGTTATTTTTCTTATTTTCACATTTTTTCGGTTCCCTGCCGGTACGACTGTAAGATGACTTGAAGAAAATTGCAGAAGAGTAAAACCTGCTCCTAAATGTATATTTTCTGAAAACGTTTGAGACGTGTTTGAAAATATGTCGTTCGAACGCTTGCGAAAATTCGATTTTCAGCTTAATTTCATGGAAAACACGTGAGTATTCGAGAAACTTCATAAAAAACATTTAAAGCCGCCCTTCTACTTACAAATGCAAAAATGTATATAAAACGTCCGTAATGTTTCCTGTTATAATTTTGAATTACACTAATAATATAACTTGAAATTTTTTAACTTCACTCCATAAAGAGTTCTTCGAATGACTTTGCATTCATTTAATCAAATAAAAACATTAGAGCAGACATGTATTGCAATGATAATTTTCGTATTATTCTTGGCAAAAATGTGTCTTTATCGCGAATCTTATATTACTGTGAATTGATGTTTGTGCCGCTTCGATGGTTTGAAGTCCTGATATAAAAAAATCTTTTGAGTTCTCCTCTGGGTATCTTCTTTTCTTGAAGTCACTTACATGATTCTACGTAGCTACAGTATTCTAATGTAATTTTTGTAAACCACTTGTCCTGCTATTTGAATACCAAAATTATCTCTATTGTGACATAAAAATCCCTAAACTGAACAAAATTAACTTAATTAAACTACGACTGCTAAAGCAACTATTTACTCTAACATTCAGGTATGTCATGGGTTGAATTTAAAACAAGTACGTCCATTGATAAATTTTGAAATAGTTCTGACATACGTCTTTCACAAAATGTAACATTATTGTGTTTTGAAATACGCAATGTAACACAAAATCTTTACATTTCTTTTGTTCTCGAGCTTATGTAACTAATTTCGAAATAAAATATTATCATGACAGACTTGTTTTTTCCCATGTATGATATTAAAACGTGTCTCAACTGATTCTGGTATTCTTCTTGGGAATATCTCTTTTGACGATTTTTATTTCTGCAATTAGATCATCCCTTCCTAAGACTATTTCTAATCGCTAGCCCTGACGATCAATGTTCTGAATATTGTGTCATTTTTAGCCTCATTCACATACTACTCCTGAAATTCGCATATTAACACCGACGTTTTATTTTGAATAATGCATAATATAACTTCAATATTGTCTACTGGCACAATGTCCGGTCCTATTTTCAATTCCAGTTCAAAAATCAATAGTTTGGATGAGACCTTAGGTTGGGGTTGCCGTGCTGGTGGGAGATACCTAGTAGATTGGTTGATTATTTCGTTTTACCGGGCGCGTCAACTGTTATGGTGATTAGTCTCTATTTTATTTGAGGCAAAAATAAATATGTTCAATTTTGCAGTTTCATTTTTTATATTTTTTTGCAATTTTCCAAAATTCACTGATTTTAATCAAAATGAGACTTGTACCTTACTCTTCAACGTCTTCTGCACTATACAACCATAAAATTTAATTAAGTGATTTGGAGTTCAATACTTTGTATAGTCAGAATTCTTGTTTTGTGAGTCCTTGATACCGAAAAATCGATTGACGGCAAAATGTATGCCCGTCCCTCTATATGTGGGATCAAAGCTAGTGCCAAAACGGTTCAGGCGATTATCTCCAAAATTGATATTCCTCGATCGATTTGAAGGAACTGGAAATCCTCTGAGTTTGAAAAAGATATTTTGATTCAGGAGCGTACTTTACATAAACGTTTAAAAACTTTTCAAAATATTTTCAAAAAAGGCTCTGCGTTTATTTATTAAACTATATCCACGGATACAGTAAATCACGCTTAAAAGAGGGGAAGAGTTTTTTTCGTGAAATGATTTTTCGCAAGTATGCGAAAGTTCAAAATTGTTTTTGGTGTCTTCAAACTAGAACCACAATATTGAAGATAGAAATTTTTTTCGTCATGAAATCTGTTCTCAAATTACTGTTCATTTACAGGACAATTTTTTGAAAATATGAGTAGTTTTCGCGTAATTTTGCATGCAACTTCAGCAATTTTAACACAATAGTTTTTCAAAAATGGCTCCAAACTTTTACTTTAAAATTTCATCTCTTTGGATACCAAAGAGAAAAGTTGATGCTAGTCCCATTTTCTCCAAACTCTATTTCGAAAATTTTCAATACGTTAACAAAATTACAATATTGAAGATTTTTGCCTTAAATAAAAATCTGCTCTAAACATTTAGGGGTTTATAATTGTCAATATGTTTTATGACAACACGAGAAGTTTTCACGACATGGTGCTTGAAGTTGCAAATTATAAAAAAAAGCATTATCTAAAAAACTTTCCAAATGTTTGCTTTAGTTTCCCCCCACAAATAGAATAAGGGAAACTTAAAAATGGCACAGGGAAGATGGCCTCATTTTCGTTGAAATATGATATTTTTTTCGAATTGCATTTTTAAACAAGGCGATAACGTATTTGCAATGGTAGCTCTACTGGTTCTAAGTATATGGTGCTTAGCATGACTTGTGGCTATTTTCCACAGCAGGGTTGTGATTGCACTCTCAGTCCTGCCAACACCGCGACTTATGCTCCGACGACAGGGGAATGCCCCAGTTCTCCTGTGGCTGTTGATGACGTGTGTGCTGGCCGCAGTGAAAGGGCCGAGGGCACTGCTGCCAACCCCAGAAGAGGAACTCCCTGGCGTCAGGGATAATGACGAGCAGGTAAGAGGCACCACTGATACGTCGTTTATTGGATAGGCCTGCCGTGGCAGTGCCGAGGTTTCGTAGCCAAGAAAGAAGAATGTGCAGAGCACATGTCTCATGATGTGAATATAGAATGTGAATTGATTATTGGCAGACATTAAAAAAATAATACGTGCAGGGCTCCAGCTTTTTCTATTATTCTTTTTCTATTGAGAATAGTCGTCTGAATGAAACAGGTAGTTTGGATAATTGAGTGCAACCAGCGCTTAATGAAGTGCATAATTATGTTGTTTTTGGTTTTCTTCAGATCCATATTTCGTGTGAAATGCAAATGAATGTTGGCATTGATTCTATGAACAGATATCTAGACTAGTACATTGTGAATCTGAATTTAATTAAAGTTACGTCATTTTTAGGACCGTCAATTCAGTCACACATGAACTGGAATATGTATGTAAATTAAATGAACATAAAATTAAGTTCATTATGCAATGCATTCAGAATTATTTCAAATTCAGTTAGCCATCATTGTGTATATTTCAAAACTGTTCATTCCCGCCTAATATACAGTATAATATACTAGGAAAACGCATCCTATAGTTCTCAGACTTTTAGATTGCATTTAGGGAACAGTAATGAAATCGCACCAAAGTTATTTTTGACCCTCACTTTATTAAGCTAGTATTTCAACCATGAACGTAATTATTCTTGATTAATGAAACAATGGTTTTGAAAATTCCGTAATTCCATGATTTAATTAGCGTTTCAACATGCCAACTTATAACTAATGTATTTTATACTATTTATGTTTTATTTCCAATAAAATGTTTATAAATATGGGTATAAAATCAACAATAGTCTAGCAATCGAAGCAACAATGTTTTGAGGTAATAATTGAACAAATATAAAACAAAAAAGAAATTATATTTGTAATTTGGTTTAGAAATCAAACATTTGACAAAAAAAATTACTTGATATATTGAATAAAGTTGAAGTTTTCCGGTCTCATGACATGGTAACTTTTATAAAATACAATAGTACTTCCGTGTAAGTATGAAGCGCCAAACACGCCACCATTGCGCTAATGAGGAATAGATTAGCCGCGCTGTGTTTACTCAGCATAGAAAAAACGGACTAATGGCTTAATCAAAAGAAGCAAAACTACCTGTCAAAGCAAAACTTTTGGAGAACAAAACATTCAAATTGGTCACTAAAAACGTAGCTCGCACACTGCTCAAGAACAACAAATAACATACTCTCGCGTAACACTGAAATAAATTAAAAATGTTTACAACAGTCTTCAAAAACGCTGCAATAACATTGTAATTGCAGTTATTTATTGTATATAGGGAAATAATTATTTTGCGTTTCAAGAATATCCAAAAGTTGCCAATCCATAACGCATCACACGAATAGAAATATTTATTGATAGCTGGTCTCTTTCTCCCACATGACGTTAGCTGTGTGGTAAGCAGTGGCACACTATTGAAGGTAATTCAGTCGCTACGCACAGTATGAGAGTAGACGGAATTACACCATCGAATAATTGAATTTTTCAGACCAAATTAAAACTGTATTTTTAGTTTCTGGATATCTAATGAGGTCAGGAACACCCCTCCCATGACCGTAGGATGCACATTTTTCTTCCTATTTTAGCGCGCATTGAAAACCAAAAATATGAGTAGCAATTTGTGTATGAATTTGTATTCGAGTGGATCCTACTGTCAGGGATTATATTCTTTTACATAATGAAAATTGCAATTTTTACCACTAGCTGAATATCTGGTAGTTTTCCATGGTTTCTTCAATTGTCATAATATAAATATTTATACGCGATTCCATTCTGAAACTTTATAGGAGTTAGGTTACTTACAATAAGAGTAAACATAAAATTTATTAAGCTGAGTCAGGCGAAAATAAATAATTAGATTTTTAAAAAATTATTAAAGTTAGGAGTAAGAGGAGATTCGTCGGTTCGCAGTACCCTAACAAATGGCCAACAAACCGCGGGCGATTTTTCCTTCTTTCTTGTCCGACACTCAGACACTTAAACTTAAATGTGCTGCTCACTCGTGGAGACACCAATCTGGATCTTAGAACTTGGCTTTGCTTAGTTGGTGGAAGATACCTGGTTGTTAAAAACCCGCTAGTCGACCTGTATGTCCATGCCGAGCATCACAATCCAGCAGGGGATCACAGCTACCTCTCTTGATAATAGCATGCACTAACCTTACGGGAATAAGTACCTTAGCAGTCCGCTAGCTAGGAAACACTATTCAATGAATCAGTGACCTATCGTTGCGTGTCTGAGTAGTCTGGAGGCTGGAAAAAGGATGGTAGCCAAAATAAGCGATTTGGGAATGGATGTAGTCCCTATGTGGAGCTCTCTGAGACATGTGTGAAAACAGCTTCTTTAGTGTTGTGATTCTAAGTGTGTGTAGTGTTACAAAATAAAAATTCGGCTGCTTGTAGCAACGACCAATTTCAGCACGGTGTTGTTGTAGAGGTCAGATCTATGAAAAAAGGGCCTTCACGGGATTTACATGTTTGGAGATAGCGAGGTTTGAAACATCATTTTTATTCCTTGAACATTTAGGGAATGCAATAACATGAATTCAAGTGTCTTTTAAAATTTAGCGACAGCTCGTCGCCGTTCGCACGGTCTCCGAGTTCGCTATAATGGCGGACGCGGCCAATGCCTTCCTGGTCCCACCGGAGTGTCGGTCGGGTAGAAAACCGAATGTCTTCTGTTTCTCGAAGAATGCAGGGGTATACTTCTCAACACACTACATCTTTATGCACCTCGAATGAAAAAGTGATTATCAGGTAAATTGAAATTAATGTTTCATTAATGTTAATGCGTTCAATAACACCACGGTTATGCATTTTGAGATAATAATCTCTCGATAGGATCGGGTAACGAAGAACATGAAGGAAGAATTCTCAAAGGAATTGAGAGGGGAAAATCAATAAAATATAATAAAAAGTGCATATGTACTTCAAACCACTTAAACTCAACAGACATAGAAGAGATAAATAGATTCGTGTATATTATTTTGTTTCTATTTCATATTTCCGCTAAACTCTCCTGCCTTACTCGAAATATTTCAATATGACTTAATAATTTCAATAAGAGTTATTGCGGTTACACATTTAATATAAAATATTTAACATTAATTATTGCTAATATATTTTGAACATTTTGAACTAAACCTCAGGTTTGCAAGAAGATCATACTAGAGCTAGCCTGCCCAGCATACAATTCTGGTGACTCAAATTGGCTTATAACTGAAAGGAAAGAATTATAAGAATTTATTAAGACATCTTCATATTCAGCAAGAGAAAATAATTTGATTGATTGATAACGTTGTACTTCCCGTTCAACTGCTTTGTTTACTAGACCCTTAAAGACAGAACATGTTTCTTCACTGGATGGGCTATGTTCCTTCCCTAATAGATGGTGAGATCTGGCGCCAACTACATGCCAGGTTGCGGGCTTTTCCCGTTCAGGTATCTCCCATCAGTGGGGCATCGCCCCCGTCGTGACAAGTTCTAACCTTCCCACTGGTCTCCAGAAACGTGTGGTAGTGTAGCATGAGCCACAGACCGCGATATTTCCTTCCTCTTTCTAGTCCTATCCTCACCCCTTACACGCACACACACTAACATGCGCTACACTTACTCATGCCGGGAGATCAATGTGGAGCTTAGAACTTACTATGTAGAACGTGTATGTATGTATGTATAAGAAAAGTGTCACGACAGGACAGAGAATGGGAAGGAAAGATCGCGCGCGATCCGTGGCCCGTTTGTTAAAATACTGCTCTGGCATATGTCTGACATTGATCGGAGAAACCCCAGAACACTATCACTAAGAGCAGACCAGAATTCTCCCAGAGTTGAATTTAAAAAGGTGTGACGATAGGACAAGAAAGGGAAAGAAAAAATCCCACGTGGTCCGTGGGTCGTTGTTAAGGTGCTGCTGTGCCATTCGCCTGGTGTTGATCGAAAAAAGGAAACACCGAAAACTCTCACTGCCAGTCGTTTTCTCCAGGCTGTGGCTGAACTCGATCCAACTGTCTATAAGGTATCGAAACTCTTGGCACCGTCAAGACTCGACCCTAGGACCAGAGGCACAAACATCAACTACCTATTCCCTGAGCTACCTATTCCAGTTTGTCGCTAGAAAACCACTGCCGGTGTCTTTGTGCGACACTCAATCGTGAAGCACAAAGAAGTTTGATATACCGTTCAGATACGCAGATTTCACTGTACCTTAATGACGCCGCAAAGCGTGTATTTCTTTCATACATACCTGGGTCAGGAGTCTGCCGCCCTTTTCGGTAACTTCGTTATAGATATCGGTTTGTCGCATGCATCTGCGCTTTCATATTTACGGTTTTTGAAATGTTTACATGTCTTTCCGGTTAATCAACAATTACGCAATAATTAAATTCTCCTCGGAAGAAATTGCTCACTGCATTAACTGATATCACTGGAGAGCCTCTGACCGGGAGGTCCTTGGTGACTCCCGACGGTGACTGGATTTTCGACACTAGCTTGTCAGCAAGCTCGAATTCAGACGCTATCTGGAGAAGAATTCTAGCTGCCGGCTCTGTCCGCTAGTTTTCTATGGTTTCGCCAATCAGTACGAGGTAAATGCTCGAGCAGGACCCTAACAAATGAGTCACTACTTCCTTCCTCTTTATAGTTCTCACCCTTCATACGCACACACACTAACATGCGCTACACATCGCCGGGAGATCAATGCTGTGCTTAGAGCTGGGGCGGTGCCCCATTTGTGGGAGATACCTGGTTGAGTAAAATCTCGCTAGCCGACTGTAAGTTTGCGCCGTATATCGCCATAGAGTGAAGGAAAGTCATCCACCTTCCGAGCAAAAACATGTACTTCACTTACGGGACTAATGACCCAAGTAGTTGACGTGCCCGGTATTACTAACAACTAATTATTAATTATATTCAATTACAATACAAATAAAAAAACACTTTTTAAACAATTTGATGAATTATTCTTCTCCATTCTTCTTGATTATAACTAAAAAATTAATTTAGACTATTTCAAAATACGTATAAATACTTGTTTCCATAATACGTATATGTGATTTTCTTTGCTTACATTTTCCGAATGGTTCCCAGTAAGATATTAATTGAGGTAGTCTCCATTTTTCCATCCTAATTACTTGTCGAAGCCTGCGCTATTGGTCGCATCCCCGTATTAGAGTTCCTCCTCATTACTCACCCGAACACCTGTTTCCGGTTTCCGTTGCTTTTAACTAGGCTAGGATTATGCTTAAGCCGCTTAGATTACGCGTAGGGCACCCGACTGTTTGCAGCGACGCCTAACAGTGACGACACTACATTCAAGTGGATTAAATTGACACAATACGTAAGTCGTGAAAATCGATGTTTTTACAGAAATATGGATGAGATGCAACCCACGAAATGAATGTAGAGCTACCTCTTGCATATCGCTTCCCAATTTTTTTCGACCATCTCATCCTCCCTGCCTCAGTTCTTCAGATGCCTCAGGTCACTTGAATGTTTATTTTCTCCCATGAGCATCAGCCTGTTCCTCTGTTGTCTTTTGTTCTTAAAAGGGCGTTTCCTGTGGGTGTTGAGGAAATAATCTTCATGGGCCAGACGCCCTTCGCGCACAACCATTTCTACAAATCTCTCTCTCCTCCCTCACTCTCACTCACTCTC